ATGAGTTGAAAATATCAAGAAGCTTGCACTAGTCTATGTCTATTTGTTCTTTAACACAAAATTTGGGCAAACAAACTTAACAAGAGAATTTCAGTAGTTAGTTTGACAGGAAATATCATTATAACCTATGTAGAGGAGCTCAATGCAGAGCATTAATGTCATGGGTCATTTCACAATCCGTTTCCATCTCCTATAAAAACATTAAGTTCTGAATTTTTTGGAAAAATATATTTTCTGCTGTCATTTAATCACTAAAATGTTACAAAGTTAGATATTGTGAACTATTTAAATTATAAATTATTAAAAAGACAAAATTGTAAAAATATTCCTAACCAATTCTTTCTTGAATTTATGAATACCACTTAATAAATGTTTATACATATTTTCATTACATTTCATAGTTTAGCAATTCAGTGTGAGTAGTGCATGATTTGTCAACATTTCAAACTTTTATAAATATAAACTGATATCCACATCAGAAAACAATAAAAATATTTCCATCAGTGCTCAGCAATCTTTATTATTCATGCTAATGAACACAAAGTTTAAAAATGCAATAGACAAGTCCAGTGGTTAGGCAGACATTCATAGTTTGCATGGGTGACACACATAGCTTACATTACTCATATTATGGCATGAACAAATGTAAAATTGTCTCCAAACATATTAAAACTCCATTAAAATTCAAAAATATGAGATTAAAGTGATAAAACACATTAAAAATGGTGTCTTTGTAGTTTTTTAGACAGTGGGTCATATTTTGTTCAGTGATATGGTTTTTTCAAAAATTCTTTATTTCATTGAAAATTTTTCAGATAAAACTAATGAAAAGCTTTCTGTATGCCACACAATTGATACTACATTATATGAAATCTATTTTATTTGCATAAGCACAGGTATAAATATATAAATACATATGTATTCTTATCTATGTAATCATATAAAATACACATCAAAAATGTATGTACCTGGTTACTGCATGTGTTGAGTATTTGACTGCAGCAGATATGAACCTTTCATTCTGTATCTATGCTAGTTCCTCAAGATCAGTGGGGCCACATTTGTAGGATGTGCTCCCTGCTGTAGGTGCTTTCCAGGAAGAAGCTTCCTGCATCTTTGGCAAGATCCACTCTGGTCCTGTGAACACCTGTTAGCAATTATGATACTTATTACAGTTTAATTGAGAAAAAAAATCCCAGTTTGCTTGAATTGCTTTGCCCTTTCACTCGCAGCTCCAACTAAAACTTACCAAATCCACCAGTTTTGGTTTTGCTAACTTGACATGTTTCTCTCCTGCTGCATATGTTGAACCCATTTATGTGGGAAAAATGTGAGCTTTCTGCCGATTTGTCATTATTCTTTTCCCTGATAGCTTCAAATGAGAGCCATTTTCTGACTCCCTTGGTTTCACCATCAATCTGTTTCTTCAGGGCAATCTAGTGTATGAGTTACTCACACAAACTTTGGGAAATGAAAATCATGAAAAGGCAAAAGGGCAACAAATGCTTGCCCTCATCCCACTCACCCAAGAGCAAAAATAGTATAAGCAACTTCTGGAGGACATGATTTCTGAAGAAGGTCTGGTTACCCTAATTCCTCGTCAGTGTGTTCTTTCAGGTTTTACTGGGTTTTAGGATTTGACTCTCGTTTTTTCCCACAGCACTCTGCTAGGGTGGCTACACAAGACGCAAAGTTTTATAGCAACACTGAAGGTGAAGATATCTACTAATGGGTATCATATAGATATTGACGTGTCTGGCTACTTCCCACATTGTACTTTAAAATTCCTTCCAGATACTACCTCCCACAATCAGGACATCCTTGGATTGTCACAATGATTTAATGAAGGTTTAGGATACTGAACACTAAGGTAAAACAGTAATTTCTGAAGGTTTTACTTTTCGTTATGGTAGATTTTTCTTACGGATAGTAAGAAAAGGGGAGGGACACACGGTGCCTGCACAGCTAAATGACAGCACATAGGAGGGCTGACAAGTCCAAAGAGATGTCATGGTTTTATTAAATGACAGCACTTTTAAGTCTTTTTTGTCTGCCTTGGTCTTCTGAAGTGTTCAGCAACTTGGCTTAGAAACTTGAACCCAAGAGCACATCATGTACCTGGAGAACTCTGTTGCCTTCCTGAGCAGAGTACAAGAACGTGGTGGTCAGAGCAGCAGGCTACAGGACAGCGCCATAAAATGTGAATCACTCTGTGGACCAGACCCAGCCACAGGTTACCAGCTGGACCATCCTGCCCCACCCACACCAGAGTGCCAAATCTGCCCTGCTCAAGAGTGGTCAGAGTAAGGCAGTGTTTGAAGAGTGTAAGATACCTGTACATGCACATTGCTGGGAAAGTTCTAGCATGTCTAGAAAACTGACAACAAGTTGCACTTATGGCCTACAGCCTGTAGAAGGCTGTAGGATCTTAAAAAAAAAGTGCAAAAAGTGCTTCCTCATAATGAGTGGTTGGTGAAGACCCTGGACCACAGCACAAGGTAAAGGGAAAAGCAATGAAGAGGCCATGAGAGATACTAAGTAGAACATTTGCTTACAAGGGATCTCATCTCCACAGGCGCTTCTGTTCCAGGCACAAGAAACTTGAAAGTATATGCTAAAGGTCCTGGGACCATGAAAAAAGACAAATCTTCATGGATGCAACAGGCCACCAAGTAAACAGAAGGAAACTTAACTATTTGCAACAAAACAGCAGTAGCATCAAACACATTTTGGGATGTATAGTTACCACGAGCAAATAAAGTTATATATTTGACCAGTTACAGCATATTCAGTCTGATAGTTTCCCACTATTTCAAGAAAGGTAAATTAAGATATACACAAAGTTACACTGTTAGCATACAAAGGGATGATGGTTTTCATGTGACATATTCCAGCACTGAGTGCATAAACTTCTAAATTAACGAACTAAAAGCTTCTTGCCTTTTATTTGTGTTGTCTCAAACACGAGAGGATTTGTGACTATATAAGGGTGTGTAGAGAACAGATTGCGACTGACATTCTGAGCAAAAACAAGCAGAGCAAAGATAGGCACGATTGTTCCAATAAACATCAGACAATTTTGCAACACATATGCAAGTCTGAACCCTCTCCAATTTTCAAACAGCTATATAAAACCATCCCAGACAAAAGCTTTGATATTTAGATTAGGATTGCTTACTTCTTTTTACAACACCGTCACTGTTTAGCAATTAAATGGGACCCCCTAGGAGAAAAAAGGTCAGACACCTTTTTGTAAAGAATCAAAATGACAAATATTTTATTGGTAATTTAGAATGTTTACACTGCTTGATCTACAGAAGTTGCTATTTTAAGTGATCACAGAAAACGAAATATAGAATTATTTTACACAGCTATACAGAACAATTTTTAAAATCCTTTAAACATAATTTCAGTACATACAACATTCTCTTGCCAAGCCAGCTGTGTCTTGATTAAGAGCTGTTTGGGCCACTGAAATGTCACAGCTCACAGCAGATGCTCCACAACCATCAACTTTTGCATTTGATTCTCTGAGGTGTAGTACCAGTGTTTCAGTTCAGTTTAGGCAGAATTCTGAACAGCTGGGAATTAAAATCTAACTGCTATCTGAAGGCCAAAACACAGAGTTGTGATGTAGTTTCTTACAAGTTGTTTTTTCTGCCTTGAGCCATTCTGTGTGAACTCTTCAGACCACTGGGACAGATGACTCTCACTCTGTGGCACGGCTCGGGGCAAGCACATCCAACTCCTGTGTCTCTCTGCAATTGTTCTGCTACCTGTGACCCCACCTGAGGCTTAGAGAGCACTGGCCTGGATGTCTTACCCCACGAGCTGATTTCACCCTCTTTTTCTATGTTTTCTAATCAACTCCTTAAAAAAAAAAGGATTTAGCTTTTTCTCTTTTTTTTTGTTCAAAGTGGCAAGTGTCAGATAGGTTTTTCAAAAAGCTATGTTGGGCACTAGTTCTGCTCAAACTGAATTGAATGGTTAAATGCTTACTGATTTCAGTGAACGAAGGAACAAACCTGTACTGAGGATTTCAGAAAACACCTGGGTGGAGTATTAGGAGATTTAATCTTAAAACTGTATAAGAATAGAAGTTTTGAAAATGTTTATTACAGGAAATGAAAGCTTCAATAAAAATACTGTTGTGAATAATACTGAAAAAATGATAAAGAGTGTACTAATATTTATATATGAACCCAAAAAAGGGGCAGTATATATGGTCTTTATTTGCAAAACCTAAATATCTGACTTAGCAGGACTTAACAAAGAATTAGTCCAGGAAAAAATGAAAAGTATGTTACAAGTTGCCAATACAACAGCCATATTTTAAATAAAAATAACAATAATATACATGTACAATACTGTAATGATATAACTTGATGAAAATAACACTGACCAGTATCAAATCTAAGATTTCACTTATTATCCATCCTTAACAGATGAAACGCATTTCACAGAAATAGATGCAGGTATGGTGATGTGAAGTGATATCCATGGCTTACTGTGAGAAAGTTACCATGAAAATTAAGGTAAAAATGTAAAGAAGGAAACCTAAAATAGATTTATATGTATAAAAGTTCAGCATTATAGCAGCTCAGTGGATATGCTGCAGCAAGATGGAAACAGCAACCCTATGGTACACACCACACACGCTTGCGCACACTCTCACACAAAGACACATGTGCCCATGCCCAAATGCATGTGCAGGGGTCCTCCTCAGCTTGATTATACAAGCATTCATTTACCAGCTTTTGCTGGGGGCAACACCAGGAATGGGGCTCACCACCCCGTTTTTAGCTGTCTGCAAGGTAGCTGTAACTACCTAAAGTCAGAAACCCATCTAAGGTAACATCAGCTGAACATTTTAATGGAAGCTGTTTTCATCCTGAGCACCTTTAAGGCACTTTAGTAAAAAATATGAAGTTAATCAAGACTGGAAAAAAATATAAAAATCCTTGCATTTGAGATCTGGAAATTTAAAATAAAAAAATTCCTGAGTTTTGATAAATAATTTTATTATAATAAAATACCAAGCCTATGGAAAACATGTCTTTCATAAAAGCATGTTATATGACAATTTTTCTTGATAAACTCATGCCTTAGTGCATGAAATATGTTAATAAGTCTTTGGGGACATCTGCAACAAATTAAGAGGAAATGCAAAGTCAAAGAATGACCTGTCATGTGCATCCAAAACATGCATTGCTCCTGGCAACACACATCATGTTTACTACAGGCATCTTTATCTTTTTCTGTTCTTGCAGGGTCCTGCCCACATCTTAATACTTTACAATTAATTACATTTCACTACTATTTACAGAAGCAGAAACTAATCACACATCTTCTTAGGCCCATAAATATGGAACTACAGAAGTAGAATATATTTTAAAACAGTATGAAGATAAGTATGCTACATAGAACTCTTCTCTAAAAGTACAGTTCATTAATTATTTTCTTTATGAAGATTTAAATCTAAATGGAGATAGAAGTTCAAATTCTCTCTTTTTACCTTGGTTATAATTGTTTTTTTCCACACACTATTTCTAAAAAAAATTGCCCCAAGACAGTATTTGGATTGCAAAAGCAGTTTTAAATTGTCACAAAAGTATCTCCAGTAAAGAACCATCAGGCTCTGGAATGCCCATTTTTTACACAGGATACCATCCATTTGTTTTCAACAAACAATGAAACAACAGCTGACATAATGCTTGTTCTCTGTATGTTTCTACTAGTGTTAATTTTTTGCTTCTGGTGTGTTTTTCTCCTCTCTGCTATCAGTAGACACAAATACTCATACCAAAAGTGCTGGCAAATGCACTAAGACACACACTGGCTACAGAAAGGAATTTATAGAGCCCTGGGGAGGTTCCTTCTGACAATAATAGGTAAAAACAATCATCAAAGTAAAATGCACTTTTGGCTTTACTGCATCCTTTAATATTTTCAGTAGCTACCTCTATAATATAACTCATAAAAATTCTACTTTTTAACATTTAGACTTCTATTACAAAGTATTTAGTGTTTTATTTTTAAAAAATCACTATAGTGATGGTGGTTAATTCGCTTTATAAAAGATAATACATTGAGTTATATATAATAATGGCTTTGATCCAATTAACTTGATATTATGCTGCTTAATAATTACTGTGACTTCAGTTCCTACAAGTGTTACAGAGAATACAAACTTAATGTACAGGAAGTGGAGATCATTTGGAAGTGCTGATTCAGAAGTATTCAAGTGCTAACAATGACTTGTTCTTTCTATGCTTCTCTTCATGTTCCATAAATGATGATTTCATAAACGTCCATGGTTTTCAATGTGACACAGTTTTAGGGCAATTGTTTTAATGTTCTTTTTTTTGTGCAAATTCAAAACTAGACTTTTCTGGATGTTGCCATCTTGTCAAAAGTAATTGCCACTTTTACTTAAAAAGGCACCAGCATTAATGTAAGAGAATATACCTTTTATGCTTGTTTTATGAAGAGCTGTACTTGTTACTGGAGCGGAAATTATCATATCCGTGATCATTAGCTTTGAACTTTAAACAGGACTGCCTTTCCTCCAGGGACAACAGATCTTTGGATTGGCACCAGCAACACAAGCATGACTGTTAAAATAAAAGAAATAAACGTTTTACATCACTCTGTTTTTGCACACGTGGCAAAATGCACTGAAAAGCTGCCCTTTCTCAGGGGTAGAGTAGGAAATGGCAAATGTGCAAGCTGCTGCTCTGGGATTAGAGCACAAAGCACAGAAATGGGGTTCAACTCTGAGCTGCTCATTAACAACCTTACTGCTGGAGTACAGGAAGAGTTATACTGAGTAGTTATATACAGCAACAGACACACACACACATACCCCATCAAATCTGGTCTGCAATTCTAAATGCATCTGAAAATAAAATTATGACTGCTTGTTTTCCTTTCTCTGATAATCTTTCTTGGGAAAAGAAAAGCATTCTTATCTATGCTTCCTAAGCAAGATGCTGCTATTTAGCTCATTGTTCTGAGATGGAAAAAAGAGAAGTTGGAAGAAGGGTGAAAACCTACATATAATTCATACATTTACTAGAGGTACTGCAGTCCTTTTTCTCATGGTCCTGTCTGGCCTTTGGGTGCTGGAAGTGCCTTCCTCACACCTACTTACTTCCATGCTCAGGATGCTGGAGATCTCTTATATCCTTTCAGCTCCAGTGACTCTTTCAGGGAGCCAGCAGCATAGACAGGGAAGACAAGACCAACACTAAAACCTCTGCAGCCTGTGCTGTCACAATTATGTGGGAAATACATTAACACTACTAGAAGTAGAGCTGACTGGCTACTGACTGAAAGATGCTTCCATCTTGATAGTAAGGAATTTAAACAGCCAGGCAATAACCCTAGCTGTGGCCAGTTGTTAAATGCTTGGCAAGAATAGAAAAATCTAAAAATTTGCCATAGGCAATGTAAGGGCTTCAATATAATGTGTAAAGATAGTAAGGGTTCACAAAAAAAGCCCAACTCTTCATATTTTCCAAGCAGACACAAAGGCTGAAGGACTGATGGGCTGCCAGCCACATACAATCCAGAGCCTGTGTGGAGAATTTAATGTCCAGCTCTATTCTCTCAGACCAAGCCAGGACTACAAACAGGTCTGTCTCATAAAATGTTGGCACTGGAAAGGGACAAGGACAGATTTGCACCCTGTGCCTCACATGACTGATTGAGGTGCTCAGTCAGGATGAGGGTCAGCACCCTCCCTGGCAGGATGCAGAGGATATGGCTACGTGAACCTCTGCAGCACAGACTGAGTCTGCTTTGTCAGGGCTCTGGAAGTAATGGGTGCCAGCTTCAGTCAGGAAGTGATGTAGCACTGATTAGCATGGTCCCCAGAGGGTTCATTGTACACTCTGCTCTTTTGCTTTCTCTTTTTGTTACCTTCAAACCTCAGTTCCTTCCTACAGAGCTTCAGCAGGAGAGGGAGAGAACATTTACCATAACCCAATTAAAATTTAAAGTAAAATTTAATGACTGTTTAAAACACTTTGTGCATGTTAAGGAATGAATTCTACTACTGACATCATCTTTTAACCAGAGGAGCAACTCCCAGCAGCTACTTACCTTAAAGCAGTTTTGGAATCTTTTGCTCACCAAATACAGAGCTATTGGATTGATGCAGGAGTTCAGTGAAGCCATGTTAATACCAATATAGTCCATCACAAGAAAAAAGCTGTGTGGAAATTAAAGTGAGACACTTCTCATTTACTTTGAAAAGGCTTAGTAGAGGTTTACAACTATAGACATTAGACTTGGTTTCACTAATCAAGACTGCTATTAAATGGAATAGTAATAGGGCTTAAATCAACAGGATTAACTCAAGCAGGTAACAGTTATACTCAACAATAAAGTCTGAATGGTCTGAAGACCATTCTCATGAAAGTAGTTTTAGGAGATCCAACCATCTAAACTTTTGGAAGATGTTCACAAGGTCTTTTTGCACAAATTGAATCCCAGCTGCTCTGTTGAAAGGGACAACAGGGACAGAAATCCCCTTTCTATTCTTATAGCACCACATGATAGAAGAACAGTCCCAAAAAGGGTCAAGAGGAAGGTGGGGAAAAACAAGGGAATTCCTCACAATTTTCTTTCTCTGCTACTGGAGTGAAAGCAGAGGGTCCTGGATGAAGAAGCAGGGACAACTGACTACACAGAGTAAGCTAGTTCAATAGGAAATCCAAACATGCTTAGGGAGAATTCCCACAACATACAGACTTTTTATTTCTGCATTCTCACCTTAGAAGTTCACATCTGTTGGGGTCCTTCTGATCATAAATAGTGAGTTTCAAGATTCTGCTTAAGTGAAGTGGGAGCCAACACAAGGCAAAAACAAGTACCAGACAGAACACAGTTTTGGCCACCTCACGTCTCTGAGAAAGAAAATTGGACAGAACAGTGTTACAGTTCCTCTCTCTCCCTCTGGATTGTTGTTGTCTTCAAATATCCAAAAGTTTAATAAACAAGATAAAAAAGCCTATCACAATAGGAGTTAGGAAAACATCAAATAGCTTATTTTCTTGGAATATGTGCTTGATCTTTTCTATTGTTCTAGATGTCTTGCACTGATTTGATATATCTCTTATTTCAAGAAGTATGAGTAATAATATGAAAAATAGAGGTTATGAAAACACTAGTTTAAGCAATAATTTAAATTAAAATTAAGAACATATTTGTCTCCTAGATCACTTTGAAATACCAGCTTGTTTTCTATTGCATTTCCTTATGCTTTGATCTCACATCTTATTTTAAATGCCCCAAGAGATTCCAATTACTGCTCTAACCAGGTAAGAGGAAAGGAGCACAAATACACATTATAGAACAATCATAGCTTAATTCTAGTGATGTCTGATGTTTGTGTCTGGGGCACTAGTACCTCAGAATGTCTGCTGGGATATGTTCTGCTAACATATACTGCTAAACTCACTAGGGTTCAGCAAGAACTTTCTTCAAAATAGTTAACAGTTTTATAGCACCACTTTCTAGTCTAGAGCATGACTTCAGTTTGCATCACAAAATAGCCAACTCTCATTGCAGCAAAGAAGAAATAAAACCTATAAAAACTGAAACATTAGAACGAAACAAGAATTAAACAATTGTTTGATTTTCAGTTAAAATCTTAGGTTTCTGAGGGCTCTGATTTATACATATGTGTATGAGTTCAGCAGCATCACTGCCAGGAAAGTTCACTTTGCTTCCAATCCTGAAGTGATACAAGAACAGAATGATCTGGCAGGAAAATCAATAAAGTTATTAGTTAGCAGTTACAGAGTGGCCAGGGAGAAATTTTTACCTGTTTTAAGTGGTCATTTAAAGCAATCTGCATCCCACTTTTCTTTCGTAACATCTCACAAGTCATGAGAGTATAGAAAAATGCTGTGATAGCCAGTGGCAAACAGAAGTAAAAGCTGAACAGCCACCAATCTTTAGCTTGCTTGTAAAACTGTAGAGAAAAAAACAAAGCATAAACATGGTTTGAAATTAAATGCCAAGAATTTTGTAAGGGGGCTGTAACTAATTGGTCAGCCTGTCCTGAAAAGTATTTCTGTAAGGTGTACATTACAGGTGAGAAAACAGGACAAGACAGCAGTGTGTTCAAAGCCCACAAAAAGTCAGATTTCTGAATGCTCTTCTTTGAACCGGTATGCTTCAGAAATGTCAGTATTTCATTTGAACATTATACTCATGTCACATACACCTGTGCACATTACAATCCACACAACACTGCCAAGATCCAAGGAACTCTCCCAGAGATTTTATCCACGTTAGTGACTTACCATCATAAAGGATGTTTTCTGCGTGGGGTGAAGCAAGCAGATTCTAAGGTACCTTCCTCTGTACTCCATGGTAATCATGTCAAATGCAATAGCTTCTGGAACAGCCAGGATCACTGATATGACCCAGATGAGGACAATTTCCACAGCAGTCCACTTTGGCACTCCAATTCCTTTAATGCGACTCCAAGAAGCGACTGCTCGGTACCTGAAGTGATAGCACACATTTACAAATCCAAAATATGAGAAAACTCACCCAGTTAAACAGGCTAAATTCATTTTATTAGCATTGTAACAGCTGAGTGGAAAGGTGAATTTGAGCCAATGCTTGTATAGGAAACAAATCAGAGACTTCAATGGCAAATGGGTCTCACCTGTCTATACTGAGGGCACACAAACTCAGCACTGTGATTCCCACTGATGCCTTTTGAATGAAGGGAACTAATTTGCACATTTCAACACCGAAGGGCCAGTCCTCTGCAAGTAGCTGTGAAAAGAAAACAACAATTATTTTTTCAAAAGGTCATCCTCAATGCTGAAACATGGAATTCTATCTTGACTGTTTTCCTTTTCCACCAGGTCTTGTCTTACGAAGACAGGCTAAAAGGGGTTTGTTCAGACTGGAGAAGATGGGGACACCTTTTCAGTACTTAAAGGGGACCTGAAAGAAGGCTGGAGTGGGACTTTTTACAAGGGCATTTAGTCATAGAACAAAGAGGGACTGGCTTTAAACTGAGATATTGTGAAAATCCATCCTTTGGCATTGTTCCAGGCCAAGTTGGACAGGGCATTAATCAACCTGGTCCACTGAAATGTCTCCCTGCCCATTCCATGCCATGGAGGTTGGAACTAGACAACCGCTAACGTTCAAGTTAAACCATTTTAGGATTCTATGCAAAACTTAGTCAAGAAGAATCTTTTCACAAGGGAGCCCCTGAGGGGTGTGTCCTAAAAACTGCAGTGTAGTCACACCCTGGTGGGACAAGGGTGTCACTTAAGTCTTAGTCCTGCCTCTATAAGCCCTGCAAACTCCACTCCTTTTGCTTCATTTTCATCACCCCAGTGTTTATGGGAAAAAATTACAGAGCAGGTGAGGATCTTTCTCATGTTTGAATTGTCTTTATCTGCCTTGAGCATTCACTACTTTTCTTACACCTTCCAAATAACACATTTCTTGATCAGAAAAATACAGAAAATTACTTGAGGCTGATCAGAACGGGGACAAAGCCATAGGCGCATATCTGGGGTGGGGTTTATTTGAAGCTTAGTGTCTAGGCTCCATCAGCTGAGAAGTCAGGCAACACTGGAGAGAAATGTACCTCCCCCAGTTTTTAGCTGACCATCTGATGACAATGAAAGGACACTCAAGGAGCATAGACAGATAGTTTGATCTAAATGTTTTGCAGCAGGTAAAAACATCAGATGAATCCCTCACTAATGGTCTTTATTGACCAGTTCACCAACATTCGATATAATAATACCAAAAGGACTACTTGCACATTCAGCATACTTTTAAGTACTAAGAAATAGAGAAAACAGCACAATGCACTTTAGGATGGTTCACTTACACTTTGAATTGTAGACTTTAATGGAAATATTGGCACATTCCCAGCTGCACATTTTATCTGATTTAGGGGAAACGATTTACTGGACACAGAAAGCACCTTACTCACAGCTGATTCTATGAACAGACAAACATCTGTAGCCTCAGTTTAGCAACATTTAGCCTTTGAACTCTGCTGTGAGCTTCTTTGATGGTCAAATACACCAGAGCAGCAGCCAAATCTTCCAGTTTTCATTAAAACAACATTCTCCACAACAAGGGTTGCGCCAAGAAATAGATGCAATTGTTATATTGTAGAAGAGTAAACTTTTGAAGTTTCTGTAATTAGTTAGATTATCTAAGCCCATCTCTGTTTTTCATAACTTTCTTCAAATGAGGTCTTTGGAATCTGTTGCAGATACAGGGCTACAAAATGGAAAAGGAGAAGGAAGAATGAGGACTACCCAAAAGAGGCTGGAAAATCTTTCCCTTGGCTTCAAACAAGGGTCTCTTCAAACAACTCATTTAAGAGGGTTGTAAGAACGGAAGAATAGCTCATCATACTGCGTGGATGTTTCTGGGAACCACAAAGGCTACAAAGTCTCTAAGGAGGGTTCTGGACAGGCTGGATTGATGGGCCAAGGCCAAGTGTATGAGGTTCAACAAGAATTGGGTCACAACAGCCCCATGCAGTGCTACAGGCTGGAAGAGTGATGAGGAAGTGGCTGAAAAGATCTGTCAGAAAAGGATCTGGGAGTGCTAGTAACACCTGGCTGAACATGAGCCATCAGTGTTCTCAGGTGGCCAAGAAGGCCAATGGCATCCTGGCCTGCATCAGAAGGACCAGGACAGTGGTTATCCTGCTATTTGGCACTGGTGAGGTCACACCTCAAGTGCTGTTCCAGTTCTGGGCCCCTCACTACCAGAAAGACATTGAGGTTGAGGTGCTGAAGCCTGTTCAGAGAAGGGCAACAAAGCTGGTGAAGGGTCTGGAGAATAAGTTGCATGAGGAGCAGCTGAGGGAGCTGAGATTTAGTCTGGAGAAGAGACCTTGTTGTTGTCTACCACTGCCTGAGACTGTAATAAAGTGGGGGTTGGCCTCTTCCCCAAGTAAGAAACCACAGGACAAGAGGAAATGGCCTCAAGTTGCACCACGAAAGGTTTGGATTGAGTACCTGGAAAAATTTCACTGAAAGGGCTGTCAGGCATTGGAACAGGCTTCTCAGGGAAGAATTCAAAAAAAGATGTACATGTGGCTCTTGGGACATGACCAATGGTTTAGGGATGAACACAGTGGTGGCAAGGCTGATGGTTCGACCTGATCTTAAGAAATCTTTCCTATTCCATGATTCTATAATTGAGGGTAGCCATAGGGTTGCCTGCTCAGATTAGTTTGGTTCAGCAAAGTCCTCATGCAAACAGACATGTCCATCTAAGGATAAACACTAACAAAGTCCAGGAGAGTTTTTTGAAGAGTCCTGATGTAATTTCAATATAATTTTATTTGAACACAAACGAATTTAGGAACATTTTATGGCTGTGGGCTTTTGGGAACCTCTGTGAAGTGCCCACCAGTATTTTACCATACCAGAATACCTCCAAATACCTGCTTTAGCTCTATGCTGCAATGGAATCTTTAAAGTACAGCAGTAGACAAACTGCAACATGGCCCAGCTTTCTATTTCTTCAATGATCTACTTAAGTAAGACAATAAATACAACAATGCCTCAATGCCTCTACAGAAATGAAGCAGAGAAATTAATTATAAGGATTAATGTTTCTCAAGAATTTTATGGAAAGTAATAAAGCAGAGGAAGTAGGGATGAGGTTGTAATAACCACACAGTATCTTTTGCTTATGTGATGTGGGAAAATAGCATAGACTGTAATTAAAGTATTTTCAGTAAAGCCTCTCCCTGAAACAACTTCTGAATTTCTGTAAGGGGGTGACAGTAACAATCTACTATTAAAACTGTAATGTGAATAATTACATGTATTCTAAATTTACACCCTACAGAATTGAATGACACCTGGACTGATTTATATTAGGCAGTGAAATTCCAGCCTTTCACATGTATTTGCCACAGAAATGTAGGATTGGGTAGCAAGTACATTGTATACTTATTTATGGCACCTACTGTACATTGTACATGAGTTTATATTAGGCTAGAGAGAACTCATTAAAAAAGCACTTTGAAGTAAAATATTCTTTTATTTGTTAGTAAAGTGCAGAAATTTGGTCAAATCTCTATTGGCAGGACCTGTTAAAAGCTTTTATTTACATCTAGCTGGTGTGTAGACACTCCCTGTCTCTCTTCCCTCAAATCACAGCAGTTCAGCCACATGTTGTAGATTTTGCTGAACTAATATTTATCACTCAGGTGCAGACAGTCAGACCTGTGCTCCAAACTGACTGAATTTGAGCCATCTCCAGTTTGGGATTATAGAGGCGTGGCACATGACTGAATTCAGTCAACTGAGAGAAAGGGTGCATTAGCTTTGGTGGTTTATCATAACATAAAAACATTACTTTCATTCAGCCAGCGTATATCAGGGCAGAATGGACATGCAGCTGTCTGCACTGGATTGCAAAAACATGTGCTTTATGTCTTGCAGCTGATGTATTGTGAAATTTGAGCATTTTAATGCATGAGTCACAAGTTTCTCTATCATGGTATTGCAAGTGGTTAATGATACAAGCTTTACATCAAAAGCTTGAAAACATTAAGAAAGTAAAAGAAAAAAAAAGTTTTGATTGCTGAAGTATGTTTCCTTGATGCTTCTGTCTGTTCTCTGTATTGCTATGGCCCCTTCAAATACGGCCTTGAAGTACAGGGAAGATCCAATGTAAAGTATTTGGGAACATCACCTTTATGGACAATGATAACTCTTGGTAAATACAGATGTAGCTTATTGTAATTTTGTATGAGTAAGATTATTCTCTTATGCGTCACAATAGGGTAGCTGTAAAAAGATTGTCATTTTACAAATGACAAATGACTTGGAGCCATGAGAGGAGATACTGCCAAGTGGCAGCAAAGAGAAAAATAATGTTGTGCTTTCATAAGTAAGATGCCAAGAGTACTCTACCACTGGCTGTATTCCGAGTGACCTTTTCAATGATTTACAGTCACTTATTTTACACAGGCAAAGTTTTAATTGCTGAGCAGCAGAGATGTGTTTAAGATGAAATAGATCAAAAGGAAAGGAAAACATTGCGATGAATGAAGTGAAATCATACTTAAAAGAACCAATACATCTGATGCATGCCTAGCCAAGGCTTTCTCAGACCAGACAGATCTGAGCCTAAACTGATGTGCAAGCTGCAGAGCTATGGAAGAAGCCCCAAGAGATGCCGTGACTCACAGGCACACCTGCAAATCACAATTCCCACTCAGCTTTCCCTTAGTTGAGCAAGAGCTGAGAGATGTTCTCGCTCTGCTGCTGGAACGAGCCGGGCAGAGAGCACGATGTGCTGCTCTGGGGCTCAGCTGCTGTGGTCCCCAGCCAGGAGGCTGATACCTGACTCCAACTCACGCGCTGCAGTGGGGCAGGAAGGAGCAGCAAAGCGTGCGAATATTCCCGCCAGTGTCCCAGTCCCCAGCAGGGAATGCCCACGGGACACGCAGAGCAGGAATTGGCAATTGGCGCTTCCGCCAAGCCGTGTGTTCACAGCAAACCTCGTTCGCAGGACACCGGACTTGATTTTCATCATTCTAAACAGCAGGCACAAGAGAAACCAGACATGCAGCTCTATATCTAATTCACACACAATAGTTTTTCAATGTATCTCTGAAATGACAGGTAGATTTTCACCTGATTTTTTTTTTTTTTTTTTTTTTAACATAGGGAGGTCAAACAGATATTTTACAGGAACAAGCATTTATCTAAACAGAAAATTTGCCCAGGAAATTAAGGTTATGGTCAGGGATAAGTCAGACAACATTACAAACTTATTACTATTTAGTGATAATTATGTCAGGGTGAGGATCTCCCCTACAGACAAGAAAATATATTTCCTGCTTTCAAGCATAGCTTGGAATGCTATACTGATCTATCCAATAAACTGTTTAAAATCTTAATATAAGCCATGCAATAATTTTATTTTCTTGTATCTTTATTATAACTCCTGCTAAAACTTAATAAAACAAACACTTAAGATAAAGCAATTTTATAGAGTCACCTTGAAAATGACAGAAACCTTGTAATGTGCTGTTGAAGTAAAAAATTTCTGCAATTTCACAACTCCAGTGGAAAGACTGCATCAAAAGTAATCACTTAGAAAGCCATGTTGCTATCAGATTGGGATGCATAATACAGGATAGAAGAAGAAGAAGCCAAAACAGGTCAAGCCTTGCTTTGAAATTTGTCACGTGCATCTTTTATACATGTGAATGTATACACAACAAATGTATACATAATGAAAAAAAAACTACTTTCAATTTACAAATCTATACTAGGATCATCTAACTTCAGTTTGGAGATCCACCATGAAAACTATGTATGTGTACTTTTAACAGCATTCAGACATTTCCACTACTCCATACACTTGACTTCAGAATGGACCGCTCCCGTCTAAACACAGAACAAAGCTACCTCTCCCTACCACTGCCTGCAGAGTCCAGACAGGTTCCTCCACTGGACAATTCAGATCTTTCTCAAGTGCCTATAACTTGCACTTGTTCACCATAAAGGGTTCTTAACCAAAATAGACTTCTAGCTTAATATGGTTAGAAATCAATAAACTTTGTGTAAGAAATCCTGAGATGAGCTTTGCAAGACTTCAAGTAAGTGGTTCAGACCTTAAAAGAAAGGAAATAATGTATTTCTTCCAATAAAATAGTCCCTATCTTTGACATCAGAAGAACCAGCAACCAAGAGTTCTAATATGGAAGAGTGAGAATCCTTTCTAAAGAGAAGTACCTTGATTAGAAAGTCAGAAAAAGGTTGGCTTTATCATAATGCATGGCCTACAGGTGCTTGCATTACAAGAGTTAAAAAGTTCACCACAAATAAATTTCCACAGAAATCTTCTTCAGAGCCTTTTTCAGAGAATAGCTGGATTAAAAAAGGAGGCAATTTGTGCCTGAATGGTATATAGAGTCCCTAATCTGGTCTTTCATGTATTTCCAGTGCTTGATAATGCCATATTATGTTAACCATAATTTTTATGTAATCCCTAAATAAAGTTAATGAAAATAAATCAGTGCCTACAAAGCTGACTCTGGCCCTTGATTCGTGGCTTGGATGAAGACTAGATTTTTTTCTTCCCTTGAAATGTTTTTCTCCACTTTTCCATTGAGCTCTGAGAAAAAGGAACCTATGCCAGTATTGCCAGGTAGCCATTCTTCCTCGGACATTTGCTGGTAGTCAAGAGTTCAGAACACCCCACAATAATGTGCACAGCCTAAATTGCCCCCCTTGTCAAAACTCCACTGGATATGACAATAAATTTGATTTAATATACAGGAGTAAATATTACAAAATAAGAGAGAGAGATGTTGTTTGTGCAACACAAAAGAAAGCATGTTAGTAAGTGATTTTAAGCCTATGAGAGACAAAGCTAGTGAAAGTTTGGAATTTCCAGTCCTGATGTTTTGGTGTCTTAGACATGGGACTTAACTTTATCTACTTAGGAAAGTCAGCATAAACTGTCCAGAACTGCAGACCTGCATTGTCAGGTGCACGAGCTGCCACTGTCTTGTCCTCCAAAGTTCAAGTGCCGAGAAGAACACAAAAATCTCACTGACCACCTAGTCTATCCCCCTGCTCCTTAATTGCTGTTTGTGGCCTCAAATTAACAAGGATTTACTCTGTTTAGTGGAGCTGCACAGAATCACCTGCACATCCAATTAGTAGCAGTTTTGCAAAGCTTCTACACTGCCAAAACATTACATACTGCAGAATGACTGTCTCAGACTTTGCTTCCCATTCTGCAGCTCAAGATCCAGGCAAAGAGAGACCATTTACCAGGACCCAGAATGCCAAAAAGATCTGCCAGGTTCTACATGCTGGAACTGAACACCCTTCAAGCCTTCATTTCATAGCCAGTTTCCTGATTGTGTGACAGATTCTGATATTATCCATTTCCCACTGAACATATTGCATTATATTCAAATTTAGGAATGCAATGGACTAATTAGCATCTTATGCATTGGAGTGCATTTGCCTCCCTATCCAGGTAACACCTGTTTTTCTTTAGATACCCTCAGTTTAGGAGATGTCAATTTTCATTTGTGCACTTTTTCACTACTTATGTGTTCACTTAAGTAGTCACAGGGGACATCTTTTGCAGTTTTCCATTTTAATACCTAATACAAACTTCTTCCAGTGCAGCTTTTGGATTGTCTCCTATGTGTCTGTCTGGAGAGCATTCACAGACACTTTCACACTTCCTAGGGCAAGTGTAGAGGAAAGAACTGCTCCATTTTTTTAACATGAGAACTTCTCTCACACTGTTTCATGCAGCTGCCTTACTGACAATGTGGCAGCAAATTCTGAATCCGGATCAGTTTAATGCAGTCTTAAATTGTTTCAAACTGCAAGTTACAATTGCTAAATACACTTGATTTACTGAGGGAGCCTTTGCTTCTCTGCTTTACTGCTGAGTGATCAAAGCCAGTTTTTTATTGCATTACTGTATGTATTCTCCCTGTTGCTCTGGAATGAAATGGAATGTAGAGTTGATAAAAAGTTATCAATTCAAACTGCTCTCAAAAGTTTGATTAAATAAACATAGTATCTAAGAGGTGTTTTTTCCTTGTTTTTTAACTTGCGTTTATTCAGAAATACTGTTTTAAAATAGCAAATATTTCACTCATTACTATAAGGGATAATATAAAGAGATTATGGGCTCTCCAGTAAGATTAGTAGTAGTGAGTGAGATTTAGCACCTGAGAGCTATTGCACAGCTCCTAGCATTATCAATAGCACAATAAAAATCCCAGATTGCAGCTGGTGCAATATTTATTGGTTAGCAGTCTGACCCATTACTCCTCCTGCTCCAACCTACTCATGAGTATACACTTGGTGACATTCAATCAAGATAAGAACTGAGGTATATTACTACATATTAACATTAATTTTGAAATTATCACTGACATTGCAAAGTCTCATACTGAACAGCTCTTATTGATTTAATCTTTTTGATTTTTCTGAGAAAAGACAAAAATAATCTTTTTGGTCAGTATAGTTTTTTACAAAAACACATTTTTAAAGCAGTTATTTTGTTTTCTTAATTCCACCTTAATTCAAAAGAGCACACGCCTCTCACAAGAATTAAGAGGGTGTATAGTATAAAAAACCACTGAAACTTCAACTCTGAGAACTATCATGTAAACAAAATTAACTGGATCATGAATTTAACACAATGATGACATTCCCTACTTTGTAATACTTAAATAATTTAAAATGATTAAGAGAGGAGATCCTCTTCTCTCAGCAGCTTCTGGGATAACTATAAGGATTCAAAATCTGTCCCTTCAATGTGGCTTTCTGGAAGTACAAGTAAAAGCCCCTAGTGTACAATCATGCATACAAAGTGAAGAGAAGGTGATAGGTGAATGCTATTCTGTTCACTTTAGGAAGCCAGGGATGGTGCTCAGGGATCCAGACTGTAAACTTTAAGAGCAGAAGGAGCTCTATTATTATTAGTATACCTTCAAGGAGTGCTAGATTACAACTAGAGGCTGCCCAACAAATTCCTTAGGACAAATGGATTGCACAAGCTGGGTAGAGAAGACGGGGGTTGTCTCCCCTCCATGGCAAATCTTATCAAGTCAAAGCACAGACTACTGAAGGTGCAAGAGGAGCAGGTGTGGCTCATTCCCTCTCGGCTGCCCATGCTGCAACACCGGCAAGGGGTGAAAATGTTCTCAGCTCAGGAAAGCATCCTGCCTCCCAACCAAGAGATGCATAAAACCGCTTAGCTGAACAATCTTGGCTCTTCCTAGAAAAGCCCCCGCGCCGAAAGGGACTGCACAGACCCACGTAAAGTCCAGGGACCAAGTGGTACCCACAGGACAGCGTCTTCTGTGTCTCCCCTCCATTCCCCGACCAGCCCACTGAACATTTATCCATTGCATTCCTTTATCCCTGCGACCGCACCTGTTTCCAGGTGATTTTCAGAGCTTGGTCACCTCCATTCTGCCCCATTCCCAGCCTGGACGCTGAGAGGGATGGGACTGAGGCACAGAGAGGGTGCCACCTGCGGAGGCACCACATCTGACCAGAATACCACCCTCCGGCCGGGTTTTGTGGCGAGGTGAAGCCCACGGGTGTGTCCCAGCCAGGACGGGACGCGTCTCCCCGCGGCGGGGACGGGCGCCGCCAAGGAGCACCGAGCGGCGACCGCCGCACCCCGCGCCCGCTCCCGAATCCATCCCCGAGCCCTCCTCACCTTGTAGACATTGATGGGGATGTCGATGATGATGTGGAGCAGGTCGCCCAAGGCCAAGCTGGCGATGAGAATGTTGGGGCCGTTCCTCATGCACTTGTTCTTGTAGATGATCCGCAGCAGCGTGGAGTTGCCGATGATGCCCAGGACGAAGACCAGGCAGGACACGACCGTGTTGATGTACTTGAAAGTCTCCTTGATCTCCGTCTGCCCCGTGCACATGGGGGGCGAGGCGGAGCGCGGCCGCCCCGCAGCCGCCCCCGGGCCCTTGGGGAGCGCGGCCGGCCGGGACGCGTTGTGCTCGGCGGCGGCGGCCGTCGGGGGCGCGGCGGCGGCGCTCTGCCTGCCCGGGCCGGGCCGGAGCAGGGAGCCGTCCTCCTCCTCGGCGGCGGCGGCGGCGCGGAAGCTGAGGAGCAGCAGGAGCAGGAGGAGGGCGGGCATGGCTGCGCGGCACGGCGGATTGCCCCCGCCGCCGTCAGCGCCGACCTGCGCGGAGAGAGGGGACAGGGCGTCAGCAGCGGGACAGCGCGCCCGCCGCTCGCTGCCCGGGGCCGGGGCGCTGCCTGTCCCGGGCGGTGCGGGCGGCTCCGGGGCGAAAAGCTGCGCGGCGGCGGCCGCGGCCAGCAGCCCCTCCGGCCAGACCTGCTCGGTGTCTCCCCCTCACCTCGGCGAGCGGAGCCGAGCCGATCCCCCGCGCCTGCCGGCCAGGCAAGGCAAGGCAGACGCGCTCCGCTGGCTGTGGCTGTGGCCGCGCTCCGCGCCCCGGCTGCGCGTCCCGCCCGGGCCCGGCTGCCGCCGCTGGCCGGCGATGGGCGCTCCGCTCGGGAAGGCGGCAGGGACGGGCTCTGGGGCACAGCCCGGTGTCCGTCAGCCGCGTACCAGACACCGTGGCCAAAGTCGCGCCGGCGGTGCAGGGCCCCCCCTTTTCTAAAACATTGAAGCGCATCTGGCCCATCAGTCACAGCCAGACCCCACCCGCGTCCTCCGCCCCCAGCGCAGCCCGGCCCAGCCCCCCCGCCCGCCCGCCGGCCCCGCGGAGCCTCTCCCATCCCCGCTGCCAGGAGTGCCCCCGGCCCAAGGGCTCCCAGCCTCGGCACCGAGCCGGCAAAATGCCCTGCGACTCGCCCTTGTCTTGTACCAGGCTGACTTGGCGGACTTTGAAACAATTTTTCAGGAGGGTTGTTACAAGAGGTGTGGGCATTGCTGGGGGACAGTTGGGAAGAAGAAGGCACCTCCCCGCTGTCCTGTCCGAGGCTCACTCCCGGTAGCTGGGTATGAGATTCTCCCCGCTGCAAAATCGCCCTTGCACAGCCCGAGGGGCGCACATGCTAAAGAAGCTGCCTGTACAACATATACGAGTTTAGTGCCACGTTTTAAAGCGCTTCACAAAACCTTTCTTACATCAGAAATAGTATTTTGGCTGCCTGAAGTTGCAGTTCAGTTGTTTGGTTGGTTGCCGCTTTGGGCAGCCTTAGCAAGGCGTCTGATCTCAGCGAGCTCGTTCCAGTCGTTGCACCCTTCAGTGAAGCGTAAGGAAAGGAGGAAAGAGATTTGTGCAGGATTTTGTGGAGACTAAGAACAGCCTCTGCAGGTTGGAGACAATTGCATGTCTAACTAAAGAGAGTTGAATTTGAAACTGTTTGTCAGCATCTCTGTGTACATCTCCCTGATGTTCTTTTTTCTTAAATCATTCTGGATGCTAAATCTTGAATATTAACATGCTTTGTTACAGAAGCAACCTGCTCACCTACATTATTTACAAACCCATATGGGAAAACACTAAAACCCACGATTTTTTTTCCAAAATTGGTGATCTGATTTATTTAATCTTTCCAGCATCTCCTGCTAACACGTCCTTGCACTACTGGAGCAGACAGCCTTTTCTTGTCCTCGTTTAACTTCCTTTTCATATCTCCATCTGTGTTTAAAAGACTTCTCTATTAATCACCTTTCCCATTCAATCATTCTTGATCAGTTTCCTCATTTATGTCACAGTGATTTTCTTTCCCATTTTAAATTACAGTATTTGTGGAATAAAGCCATCAAAGTCACTTCTAAACTGTACAAGGGTACCTGGAGGCTGATTGCACTCCAGCTGGAAGTTCTTTCCAAGTTCACACTTTTCCAGACTGTATTGTGCAACATGATTCATTTTTAAACACCATGGCTGATTTGTCTCCCAGAGATAAAAGCATGAACACTGAATTCAATATTATATTCTGAGCCCTGGGGATTTAAACAGTCTTTTCAGTTTTCAAGTTTGCATTTCCTCAATTTCCAATTCAGCAATCCAAAAGTGAACAATGTTTTGCCAAATGCAATATTCAATCAGAAACTCTTGCTAATTAACACAGCATTAACTTTAATCTCAAAATGCTTTTTCGCTTCCAAGGTTCCAGGTAAGTCTCAAAGGATTCTATGCTGATCCAGATGATCAAGAAATATATTGTGACTACAATGAGATATGTTTGCTCCATTTTAAACAGCTCCATAAGATGTTTGGTACTAGTGGCATCTCCATTGCCACCACTTACTCCAGCTCCAGGAGTTTTAGTAACAGCAATTTAATTTCTGAAATGTTTGATGTTACTATATACAAACCCAGTATATACAGAACTTCAGGCAGATGCTGATACTCAAAGCACATTAATCTTTAATATTGCACAAAATGAGTCCATGTGACAAAGAATCTAAGCTGCTTCTGGCTGCAAGTAGCTACATTTACCACCCTTTTTTTGTTTCTAGTATTTTTTCAGATATTTGAGGAATTAAACCCAGCATATGCTGTGGAATAAGTCTGCTTTAATTAATGAAAATTAAAGGAAAACACATTTTCACATAAATTTATGTGAGGATTAAGATAATACTGTATTAAATACTAAGACTGTATCAGATATCTTGGCAAATTAACTGTAATTTGAATGAAGATTAACTACCAAGGTTAATTTAGACTGCAACAAGAAAGAAAACATCTGCAAATATAATAAACTTCTGCCCTTTAAGTGGCCTCTGCTAATTAAGCTATGAATGAAATTCCTTACTGAACTGTATGGAATACATTATATAAGATTATGTAAGCTGCTGCTAATGTGTCTGGCCTTTTTTTTTCTGTGTAGCAGAAATATTGTCCTATGGAAAGTTCACTTTTGTACAAAGCAGGAAAAGATGAATCCTCCAGACTGCCTATTACTCATTTTATTGTATTCTGCACTTCCACTCCATTTCATCCCAGCAGATATCAACAATTACATGAATTAGCCAGTCACTGTTTTAATTATTAGTCAGATGTAACATTTCCATCAATGACTGATAATGTTCGGACTTTTTCTTTTTTTTTATTTGGAATACCATTTACAAAGTAAAAAGGCTGGATAACTTGTAACCACCATCAGGATGACTGTTAACAACTGAAAGTCTTTAAAGACTATTATTTTACATGTGGGATAAATCATGAGAGGTGGTCACAATTATGGCATCAAAAAGTCCTTTAATTAATAAGTTTTGAGACACACTGCAGGATTCTATGTTCAATTCATATAATACTTTATTGAATCAATGAGAATTTTGTTATGATTTTGCAGGTACTTTTGCAAATCCCATTAACTTTCTGTTTATGTTTTTCAGCAACTAAAGCAGCCTCAGAAGTCTGCCCCATCAGGCCTGCTTTTCTTTTTATTGAGTCTGGTGGAAATTTGCCCACTAACTGGGGCAAGTCTGGGATGAATAGAAAGAATAGCTGTCTCAGTGTGAGCCACTCATTAGATGCATGAGTTCAATTAAAGTCAGAAAATAGTCCTCTGTGTTACAGACGTTACTATAGAAACATTACCAATGGCAATTTTGAAAGAAGAAAAGTACTTTGAGAAATTAAGATATTAAGATACTGCAGTTTTGTAACTGCATATGTTCATGTATTGGACATTATTGGTCTCATTTTTTTTCTTAGTCTAAACTTACGCAAATACATGGAATTCTTTTTGGTATGATGTGTAGCTATGCTTTGTTTTTTTCTGCAAAGCTGAGCAACTTCCATAAATAATAGTGTTGGCTGTCAATTGCAGTGTATTGACATAATACTTAATTCTTGAAACAATTAAAAAAAATTTATCATAAAAAGTTACAATAAAATCTTACCAGTAGATAGCACCAATGAAACATGAAGTTTGGTTGCAGATACCTGTTTTAATGTAGATTACATTGTATATGATTGCAAGATCAAAACAATGAAAGACAATCAAATTTGTACTAAGAAGAAAACATCTGTTTTTTATAGTCTTTTTAATAAGATTTTGAGAATTTTAAAAATGAAATTAATTTCAAGCCTTTGAGTCAGATGGGTTGATAGCTGAAGTTTTTCTTCCCATCTAAGTCTAAAATCAAAGCCAATATGCCACTTATTAAATTTATTCCCCTCATTCTTCCTATTCAGCATCAGCAAAGGGAAATCACAAGGTAAATTACAGTTCTGAAACTGATATAGCGGCATGTAATTAAACTGAGGTATAAAACACACTGAATGATTGTGTATTAAGGGAAAAGCTACTGAAATGGGTTTGGGGAAGTAGCTGCAGGTTTGAAAGAAGAGCATTTCTGAATTTTATGGAAATGATTAAAACCTTTTTTTGCTTGTTTGTTTGTTTTTTTCCCCACAATGCTTCAATAGAATAAAGGTGAACAAGTTTACTTTTAAATGTCAGCTGTAATATGAGTTTGGATAAGAATTGCCCAGGATGCCTAGAAAAAATCAGTTGTTAAAAGAAATACATGTTTCATCTGCTGTGTAATGTATGTATGCATTTATACAAGGGAGGTGATAACTAGCCATACTTTGTTTATGTTGTACACAGAGATTACTCCAGGCAAGCTTTTCAAGTCTGGATTACATTCATTTCCAGACAGAATGCCTGACTTCAGCAAGAGGTGCTGTTATTCACTCATCCATGCTTTTCTGCAAGTGTGGCCATGTAATACAAACACTGTGTCCATCTGGATAGAGAAAATCTGCCACCACATTCTGGCTTTAAAATGTACTGATAAGCTGCACACCAATAAAATCATTCAGTTAAGAATCCTCAGAACAAGGAAATCCATGCTGTGAATTAAAAGACAGATTTCATGTGCCAGAGAGCTGGCTGTCCACAGGCTTCTTGTTTACCTCATGCTTGGCTCTGCACAGGATGGTTCCACCTAGCTACAAAATCAAATCTATTACTGTGAGGCCAGCCCTAAGTGGTGATGGAAGCTGTTCTTGCCAAAAGGCACTGGGGTTCCTTCCAGGCAGTAACCTGGCTGCACTTCCTAACAACTAAAATAGTCCCTGGGATCTCTGTTTGCACTGGAGAGGGTGACACTTCCATTTCTAAGGTGAGAGCTGCTTCCTTGAGGGCACTCTAATGATCTTAAGGGTCTTTTCCAACCTAAGTGATCCCATGATTCTGCAA